GGTATGGTATGGTATGGTATGGTATGGTATGGTATGGTATGGTATGGTATGGTATGGCAGGGCATGGCATGGCATGGTATGGGATGGTATGGTGTATGGCATGGTATGGTATGGGGCATGGCATGGCATGGCATGGCATTGCATTGATTTTATTTCATTGCCTAACTTACATTCAGAAACTCAAGGTGTTCCCTCTTCCTAATTTCTCTGCAATCACAACCCTGCGAGCTAGTTTGGACAGTGACTGGCCCAAAGTCACCCATTGAGCTACTGTGGCTAAACTTAAAACCCAGAGAGCTTTCTCAATGGTACTAAAAGCTTTTTGCCAACAAAAGATTAAATGACTGCTTCCATTTTTGCTCTTTGTTTTGTTATTCTGTATTTTCTTATATTTGGTATTTAATTACAGCATTTATATCCTGCCATATTCAGAATGACTCCAGGTGGTTAATTTGTTTCCATAAAAATGATAAAAATAAGCAAACTGTTTAAAATGTCTGGATTTCATAAAAGTGCATCATGGTTAGATAAATAATGTTGCATTAAGTAATATGCTGGGCACAGTCGGTTTTGTTTTATTATAGTGCCCACGTTTTTATTTCCAGCTCTGGAAATATACTAATACCAACTTGTTTTAGGGCTATATGCCTCAGGGCTCTTCCCCTTAATTTATCCCAGTAGCTCTGTTTTGTCCTCTGTCTTGGGAGAACTTTCATAACTTCTTCCAACATTTGAGCGTCACATCTGTGTGTATTTTAGTAATGTTAGCACCAAAGGTTGAACAGTCACCTTTTAATTTATTTAGCGAATGGATGCTGTCTTGCATAGCATAGTGAATATTATGGCACATAGTGAACACAGCTGGGTATGATCAGTACTTTAGACTAAGGGGGGTTCTTTTGGCCAAGACTGGACATACAATAGGCTGGTTGAAGGGTGGTTGTTTTTTGTTTTTTTTACAAAACCTTTTAAGTTCAGAAGGGTGCTTTCAGCCATGCTCCTCTTCTCCCTGACATAGATCTTAGTGGTAAAACCCTGTCTGGGAAAATTGAATGATTGAATGGATTTTTGTTCTGATAATTTGCTGCATATAGAAAACTAGAACCTTTCTCCTTGAACATTGTTTTTCATGTGGCTGGAGGGGAATCATTTTATACAAAGAGTATTCAATGCTGCAGCCTTACTAATCACTGTATTGAAAAGTAGGGCTCTTTTAGTCAAAAGTAACAGGAAAGTGTGTGGATGCCTTCAGATACATGTCCGTGTGAGTGTATTTCAAACATTTTTTTTAATGGATTTTATTCCTTTTTAGATTCATTATGGTTGCCTTTACTGTCCTTGCTGCTCTCATCCTTGCTACAGGATACTCACAAGAAGCAGATGAAACTATCACATATACGGTAAAGATATTTTAAGGGGGGAGAGGGAGAGAGGGAAAAACATAGGATATTAGAAAGTTTTCAAAAAAAACCCTTTTGACTCACTCAGAGAATCTGCTATTTCCAAGGAGATGATGTGGAAAGCTTTGCCAGCAAGAATCCTGTATCTAAAGCAGAAATCTCACTTTTACTAGATAATCATTATTTCAGTAGCCAATTAGTTCCAGACATAATTCAGAACGCTGGTTTCAACTTTAAATGGCCTAGGTCCAATATATCTTAGAGCAGATTCTTTGTGTCTTCCAGAAATGTTGGATTACTGCTCCAATATTACAAGAGCTATAATCTACTTTATCTGATGGCACATGTGTGTAGAAAGCTGTCTTAAGGCAATACTCTTAAAACATTTGTTTTATAGACCCCAAAGCAAATTTTGTGTACATCCTATGATGAAATATAAGTCAGTGATAACACCATACCCATCCAAGGTAGACCAGGCAAAGTTGGTTTAGTAGTTCTGACAGAGCCTTGAAAACATGCTTATGCTTCTAAGCCAGCGTTCCCAATTTGGTGCCTTCTGAGTGTTTGGATTACAATTCTCCTTGGTTTTTGTTTGATAATTATGGGATACATCTGAAAGATACAGGATTGGGAAAAGCAAATGCACAGGATTGCAGCCTAAGGCTAAGTATGTCATTGAACTGAGTGAGGTGGACTTCTCAGTAGAGCTAAAGAAAATTGCTCTGTTAAGATTTATTGATTTATTTATTTGTCAATTTTAATTTGCTGTTAAAACCAGCAACAGTAGGGCAATTACATTGAAATTAATGAATTTTCTTCAGGATGCCATCTTTTTTTTAACCTGCCCACTTTTGAGTCATTAAATAAGTGTGAGTTCTGTTATACATAAAGATAGCATTAGGAATATACAATAAGTTTATTGTTTTCTGCTTGGAAAACAGACTGCACAGGAAACTGTTTTTCTCTAACTATAGTTCTGTCAGCTCTGGGATTACCTGATCTGGGCTACAAAAATATGGAAAACCACTGGATGGCAGTCAACATTTTCTATATTGTATGGTAACCCAGTTATCTCAGGATGCTGCCATTTCTTCAGAGTCCTCTTGCCCCCTTATTATACTTAAGACCTGTTCAATTCCAGCTTGCTTCTGATTTGGCATGTGGTTAGCATCACCTGAGAATGAGCAGCAAAAAGTTCTTCTACTCCAAATTGCTGCTTATTTAAGTTGCCCAAATGAGAAAGCTGCTTAAAAAAAAGCAACCCAGTATATTGAGCAATGCAGTGTTCAGCAGGCTGGGACAGATCTGTAACTAGTGCAGACTTCTCAGTTATGGCAGGGAAAACTTGATTCAAAACAACTGATATCGTAGAACAATAGACTGATTGATAGAATGGAAGAGGCCATGTAGGCCATTATGTCCAACTTAGTGCAGGAACCCAAATTAAAATAATCTAGACAGATGGCTGCCCAGTTTTTTCTTGAAAAGGCAGCCCCTAGCCCCTTGCATTTATATAGTGGTTTCCTCCACACATTGTATTATGAAAACATGCTTAATAGAACAGGTTCACATATGCATATGTAAATCATATATTGGCTATTAAACCTGCCAGTATTCTAAATGGGTACCAGATGAGATTGGACAACAAAGATTGTACTTTGTTGAGGGTCAGATTTGGAATCTACATATGTATATGCGTATGTCTATTTGTATTCATACATTCTTGGCTGGGTCTGTCATGACAAGCCATTTCAAACTCTAGATTCCCAAGAAAGGGAAATAGCTTGTTGGTCATTAAAGTAAAACACTTAATTTTGAAGGTTAATATAGTCTTCCTGCTTAAATGTTCCCTCTCAGCCATCCAAATGGCCTGGATTTCTCTGCCCCCCCCGTGACTTGCTTGACTACATCACTTTAGGCAGCTGTTAATAGAATCTGTTCTCTGGATGCTTCCTCTTGTTTACCTTTCTTCTCACATTTAATGCTTGTATATTGACTAGAAAGCTGGCTAAAACAGTATACTGTAATGAGTAGCTGCCCTATCAAATCTTTTCAAAACAACAGCTGCCAAAGTTCCTTGGTTGAAAAGACATGAGTACTACTCAGATTATTTCCTCTCTCCCTTCCCTCAATGACAAAAATGTATGTAGGTATAAATATACACAATCAATTTGATAAAGTAGACAGAATCTGTAAAAACTTTACACTCTGTGTGTGGGTCACAAGATTCTTTTTATTTTGCTACATACACTAGTATGACTTCTTCTCTGGAAATCCAAGCTAGGTTCTGGTTTAAACTTAAGAACATAGACATAACCTCAGCAGGCCTCTCTAGGATGCTGTCCAAGCTGTATGGAGGAACAAATGCTGAGAATTATGGCACGTGTCAAATCGCCACTAGAAGACTGAGGATTTTAAAAAAATAAGTATATTTGGACCTACTGATTGAAATATAAGGCTGGATTTATTCAGGTCAGAGCTTTTGTCTATTTAGATCATCTTTCCTCAGCTGATATCTTCCAGATGTCTTGGACTAAAATTCCCAGAATTCCCTACTAATACAGGAATTTGGGAAATTGTTATCCAACACTTCAGGAGGATGCCATGTTGGAGAAGTCTGTTCTAGTGTAATATAGTCTCTGTGGCCTCTTTAAAATAGATATACCAGAAATTGAAATCTTGGACTTTTTCCAGGTAGAAATATCTTCTGTCACTACAAATCTAGGTACACTTTAAACAACAGTAGGCTGGTCTGGGCTAAGTACTGAATCTAAACTGACATGGTTCTGATTGAAATGGGAAAATCTGGGAGGTCTAAGAAATAAAATATTGTTTAAAAATGATTAAAATACTGAACTACTTAGGAAATAGTTATGTGGTGCATTAATGATAGATTAATCTTTGATTCTTCAAATAAAATAATTAAAGATTCTTATCAGTATAATCAACAAAATTCCAACAAGATCATGCAGCAGCCTAGATATCACAGAGATTTATGGGGCATATAAAGCTTGAATGCAGAACCCAGCAGTGATAATGGGTTGATAACTGCTGAGAAAAAAATCTCCCAAAATCTAGAGCCAGCAATATGTAGATGTGATGAATGAAAATATGCCTATTCATCAGTCATTTTGTGGCTTAACACCACTGTGTTTAAGCTATTTTTCTTGATTTTGTTTGTTTTCTATGCAGCAATGCACAGATGGTTATGAATGGGACCCCGTCATGCAGCGATGCAAAGGTACAGTATACCGTATTAAGGTGTGATTAATGTTTTAATATCTACCAGAAGTACTCAGAAGCCTGAGCTTGCATAGTGAAATTTTCTCCATAGTTTCCCCAGTGGAAGCTGTTTATGGAGAAGACAATGGAGAAAATGTAGACATTCACATAAACCTCATGTATGTGAATTTCGGGTCATATCCTTGATAGCAATAGTTGTTCCAATTGACTGTGTTTTTTGGTCATCTCCTCATATCCTTTTTTGTTGTTGTTGTTTTTGGTCCAATGAAAATGATCCACATGGGTTGTTCTTATTAGATCTAAAATTGTTATTGCAAGCGTGAAATTTTATAAAATGCATACTCATTGCAGAACAGTTCATCACTCCTGTCATATTTGATATTAATGATTTATTTAAATGATTTATATGGCTGCCCAACTCATGAATAGTGACTCTAGTTAGCTAAGGTAGGATTAAAAACATTAAAATGAAATAGGAAATAACAACAACAACAAAAACCCTCCAGAAACACATTACATATAGCACAACCGAGGCCAAGCTACAGATATATTCCAAATAATTACAAGACAGGCTCATCCAGTGCTCTGGATCAATGCTTGGGGGGAAAAACAGGCTTTCAAGGCCTTATGGAAGACCCACAGGGTCAGGACCATCTGAATCTCGGGCATACGCTGTTCCAAAGGGCAAGCACTTGATAGAGATGGTCTGCTTCTTGGGTCCCGCAAGATGATTTTGTCTCATAGAAGGGACCCAAAGCATGTCCATCTTGCCAGATCTAGTGGGACAAAGACAAATGGAGACAGGTAGTCCTGCAGATAACCAGTCCTGTACCATGAGTAGCTTTAGAGGTGGTAACCAGCACCTGAATTGCATCCAGAAGCTATCACTTGTAGCTTCCGAATGGTCTTCAAGGGCAGCCCCACATAGAGTGCATTGCAGTGGTCCAAACGGGAGTGAGCAAGGTACGAGTGATCGTAAGCAAGTCCTTCCATTCCAAGAATAGGTGCAGTGGCACACTGGATGAGTTTGTGTAAATTTCCTTCTGGCCACGACTACCCCCCTGTCTTCCAGCAGGGGCTGATAGTCTAAGAGGACCCCCAAATTGTGTACCAGTTCTGCCTGAAGTAAAGAATTAAAGATGGAAGTTCCCTAGAACTGGGGGATCCCAACTTTCACAGCCACTTGGTCTTGCTTGGGTTAAACCAAAGCCTGTTCTTCCCCATCTAGACCCCCACAGTCTCCAGACACTGGGAAAGAACTTTGACAGCATCACTTAGTTGGCCCAGGATAATAATTGGGTATCAGTTGTCCCCGTGCCAGCAGATGACCTCACCCAGTGGCTTCATATAGATTTTAAATAAGAGCAGAGAGAATGTAGAGCTCTGAGGAACCCCACAAAACAGGGTTCTAAGACTAGATATCTCCCCACCACTAAAATTGATCGGATCCAGTCCTGGAGGAAGAAGGAGGAACCACTGAAACACTATGACTTCCACTTCTAAACCCTGAAGCCAGTCCAGAAGGATATATGATTGATAATATCAAAAGCCAGTGAGAGATCAAGGAGGGCCATCACTGTATGTGCCAGCCCTATTCCAGTCCCATCAGAAGCCTACAAGTGCAATCAGTGCCACCACAATATTATGTACTGATCTGAAATCTGACTGTAAAGAGCCCAAATAATCTGTTTCCTTGAGAACCCTTTGGAGCTGCAAACCAACCTAAAAAAGGAAGGTTGCATTTGGTACAAAAATTGTCCAGTACTGTTGGATCCATGGATAGTTTTTTGAGAAAGGAAAAAAACACCCCTTGTTTAAGAGCAAGAGAAACCCCTTCTCTCAAGGATGCATTTACCTCCACCTGGATCCAACCACACAATGTGTCCTAGGAGACCTTAACCAACTCAAAAGGACATGGAACTCAAATATAGAGAGCTGTCCATTTCCTCAGGACCAACAGGTTCAAACTCTTCCCAGGTCACCAAGGTGGACCATGCCTCTGTCAGCCTCAAAGGATTTGCACAGCCAGATTTCAGTGGAGCAGATTAAAGTGATTTTATCCAATGGATGCCTAGAATGGTCTTCACAGCAGTCCTGCAAATGTTTCTTTGGCCCCTCCTTCTCCAAGAGTGATTGGGTCACCTTAAATAGAACCACTGGCCAACTATATGCAGATGTGGAAAAATAATTATGTTTTAGTGATCTTAATCTATGGGATAATGCTCAACAAATTTCTAACTCTTGTTCAGTTAGGTTTGCTCTTCGTTCTTCCTCCAGCAGCACTCTAGGTGTCATTTCATCTCCTCTGGAGTTCCTCTGAAAACCAGGGGCTCTTCAGAATCCATGGACAGAGAGTCTGCACAGGCACAATCTGATCCAAGGCCAATGCTGGTTCCCCATTCCAGGTAGCAAAAAAAGCCTAAGTCAAATCGTGCATCAGAGTCACAGGAACAATCCCAGGTTCCCTCTGAAATCCAACAGGATCCATCAGGCACCTAGGACAGATCAATCAAATAGGTCCTTTCTCCCTGTGGTAGGGTGTGGCTACAGGGAATATCGAGGCTAACAGAGAGTGATATGATCTTGACAAGGGACTGATGATAACATTCTTCAATTCCAGATCATTCCTGCCCTGAGACCAAAAAAAAAAACAAAAACCGGTCTAATGTGGGACCACTGCTGGGAGTCTGGCCCACAGTAATCTGGGTCAGGTCTGTAGTGGCCATGAACTGCTGAACCACCTCTGACCCCAAGCCAAGAGAAGGCAGATTAAAGTCACTCAGTACCAGCAGCCTGGGATGCTGCTGCTTCACTAGGGAAGCTGCTGTGCAACAGAGAGGCTGGTACAGTAGCAGCAATCCCATCTGATCCCTCCTGATGACTGCTGATTAGAAAATGTGCTCCAGGATTCCATCTCTCCTTCCTTCCTTCCAAAAATTAATTAGAAATGTTGCCATAATTAAATAAATCTATTCCTCTTTTTCCAGAGAAGAGTTCATCTTCCAATTTATTAGAGTTAGGGGACACTTATTTACAAAAACAAATGTACATTTTCATAGTTCACTCAAAATCAGGATGTGCTACATATCTACTGTATTATCATTGCATTTTATGTTATACTCCCTGTTCAAAAGCATAGACACATCCCTAAACAGAAAAGGTGAACATTTCATCTGATGCTGGCTTAACTTTATACCTGTTCATTCAGTCACTCCACTTTTTATGCAAACTATTGATAATTTTCTCAAAACTGTTGTTTATTTGAGATTGTTATTCACAACAGAATAATAGAAAGGACATTTTGATTAATAGCTCCTCTTCCTCTTGTCATTACTAATCACAGATATCGATGAATGTGAAATTGTGCACGAAGCGTGTAAAGGTGGAATGAAATGTGTTAATCACTTTGGAGGATACCTCTGTCTGCCCAGAACAGCCCAGATCATTGTCAATAATGGTCAAGAAGAAACAGTATCAGAGACTGCTGGTAGCAGAAATGGTAATCCCATCATTCGTCGAACACCTGTAGATCATGCAGCATCTCGGATACAGTGTGCAGCTGGGTATGAGGCAAGCGATCATAATGTGTGCCAAGGTAAGGAAGCTGTTACTAAATATCACAGCTCTGTAACACGAAACTGGAGCAATAAATGTGGCCATAGTATATATTGAATTTAAGGAATAAAAAAGAATGTTGGCTGACATTAATCAGGAGTGGTGCAGAAAAAAAAGGTATAATTAGTATTGTGGTATGTGGTTGAATCATATCCTTGCATTTTAATATTGCAGCCGAAGGCACTGGATACTAAGGCATTCCAAAAACAACTCTACAACCCCAGGTTAGCATCCTCACTGATGAATAGTCTGCAACCTAGAAGAAGATAGATGGCACTGGTCAAATTACTACCTGTGTGTTAGAGAAAGAGAAAGAATAGTATGGGAAAACTGGGAGATTTCAAATACTAAAAAGTTGAGTCATCCAATGAAACTGCAGTCAATATGGAATTAGTTTCCATAATTCCGGTGCAATGATGACCACAGATTCAGATAGTTTTAAAAGTGGATTGCATGAATTCACAGGGAAGGAGTCTATCAGCAGCTGTCAGCCAAGCTAGCCAAAAGGGAACTCCGAGGTCAGAGACAATATAATATTAACCAGAAAATGGGGCAAGGATGGTGAAGGGATATTGTTTTGGTGTCCTACATTTATGGGCTTTCTGAAAACAACTCACTGGCCACTTTGGGAATTAAAATGAAAATAGAAAAAAAAAAATATCCTGGTATGCTAAACGTGATACGGTACTTTGAAAATGAAGTCATGTTGCAGGTAAGAAGGAAAAAGTGGTATTGGTTCCTGAAAGTTATTATACTAGAATGACCTTGTATTAGACACAGTCCACTGGGAATTTCTCACAGTGGATCCATAGAAATTTATCCAGTGCAGCCTCTGTGTGGTTATTCCCACATGAAGAGTAAAACTGAAAAATCATAACACAGACAATTGCTTAACACATTTAATAAGCAGATAATTATTAGTCTATAATATATTGTATATCACACTCCCGCATCCTAGAATACCAGCCAAGTATAGGAACATAGCTCATTCAACTTAGTATCATTTATAGCAGTAATGGACAATCCACTGCATACAGACTGCACACAACCTGAATGTACTTTTTGGTGACTCCTAGAGCCTCTTAGAAATGGCTGAAAAACAATTTCCTTTTGTTTTTCAGCAGAAAATACCTACTAATGGGTATGTAGGCCTATCTTCAGGCTTAATATAGCAATATAAATAAATCCAACCCAAACTCTGAAACTAACTCCACATGGGGACACCCCAGCCCCATCTCCTCCTTCCGACATCACTATCCTTGACAACCTGGAAAAAAATGAAAAACGTATGGATCCTAGCCATTTAAAGGTTATCTGCCGCTTACTTCCACTGATTTGTGACAGATCTCCAGGGGTCTAAATAAGCTTCCCTAACCTGGGGCAGTGGGGGCAGAATGCATGCCTGCAAAAAATGTGATCTGTCATTGCCTTGTCCTATTTCTGTTTAGCCTAAGGGATAAAAAGCAACAGAAGGAACATAATGTATAATAGAAGAGATCATTTAGAGTCCAATATGCTATTTGGGTTAAGAAATCAGTGGATGAGAAACCTAATTAGCTCAAATTAAAAAGCAAAAGAAAAGATTGTTTTAATGGAATTTGAAATCGATCCACGTGATCTTTGTTTATGTTAGAATTAAATGTAATAAATGTCAGCCTCACTAGATAGACCAGACCAAGAAATCAACACCACAGGAAGACTAAAACTACTTTTGTTGAGATTTGCTATAATAATCAAATTTTGCAAGTCTGATTGTGCTGTACCCCTTCCTCCTTCTTATACTCCAGTAAATTAGGGAAGCATCTGCCTGAGCTGCTTCCAGACGTTATCTTGTTGTTGTGGACTTAAAAAATGTTTCGGCCCCTTTTGCCTAGGTAACAGTTCTTGCATATTTCCATCAAAGTCATCTTCCTTATTCTCTACAATAACTGCAATTTAGCTCTGGATGGAGTTGCTCTGTCTCAGAAAGACCCAGTGTGCAATGTGGGGTCCTCCTGGACTCTTGTTTGAAGAGCAGGTGGCAGCCATGGCCAGGGGGACTTTTGCACAACTCCCTGTTGTATACCAGTTGTACTCTTTCCGGGATCATGTGGCACTACATGCTGTCACTCATGTTCTGAGCACCTCCCAAGTGGACTACTGCAATGCTCTCTACATGGGGTTGCCCTTAAAGAATATTCAGAAGCTGCAATCAGCTCAGAATGCACCAGCACAAATAGTTTATGGGCATGCCTTAGTACTCCCATCTTACATGTTTGGTTTGCAAGCTGTACTGGGTTCCAGTAGGCTTCTGGGTGTACTGCAAAGTGCTGGTTGTCACCTATAAAGCACTTCATGGCATGGGGCTGGGTTATTTGAAGGACCACTTCTTTCCAATTGTCTCTACCTGTCCTATTAGATCTGGCAGAAGGCACATGCTCCAGGTCCCGTTGATCTGGTAGGACCCAGGAAGTGGGTCTTTTCTGTAGTACCACTTGCCCTCTGGAATACCATTTCTCTTGAGATTAGATTAAGCCTAACCCTGCTGGTTTTTCATGAGGCCCTTAAGACCTGGCTTTTCTCTCACATGTAGGAGTCGGGAGGGACTTGAGCCCATGAGCTGAATGAATTTGTTGTTGGTTGGTTTATCTCCAGTTGCCTCTTTTTTATTTTATGTGTATTATTTATCATATCCCATTATTGTACTGATATATTTATTGTATTAGCTGCCTAGAAGTGCTTATGTGAGATGGACGACCATATAAATTTAATAAGTAAATAAATATTAAAGATGATCTAACCCAACCCCATTCTCAACACACAGTCTACAGTATAGTTGCATGTTTGACAAAGAGCTGCCCAGCCATTACTTTCACATCCACAGCAAAATGATCTCATTGTTATCAAGACTCTCTGCATTACTATCAGACAACTCTTACCCTTCATTTCATTTTAATCCCACGTTTGCTTCTTTGCCATTTTTGTACACTGAGTCTAGGCTGCAAATGGGGCATGCATATTCTTAGGGAGAAGGGAAAACCAAGTTAGGAGACATCAGGCTTCTGAGGAATTGGAATTGTCAAGTGGAATTGAAAAAAAGTCAACTGGAATTTAAAAAAAAGACCCTGAGGGGAAACAGTGAATCACTAGCTTGAGCCCTGACAGGTGAGAGAGGTCCTATTTTAGCCCATAGCTACATTGCTTCAGTAGCAGTCTGCCAGGGGGAGCAATGACAGATGAGCCCAAATCCTAAAGTAGACTCTTCTCCCAGTATTCCCCCAACACACACGCTTATTATGATGTCATTCTAGGAGTAGTGTCATGTTAGTTTACGGCAGCCAAAAATCAGGAGCCTGTAGTACCTTTTCAGTCTTCATGTCTTTCTTTCTCCCCATTCTTTCTTGTTTCAAGTCTTTGGCTGCTTCTTTTTTTCCCTTCCCCATTTTCTCCTCCATTTGCAAACCAGTTAATCCTTACTATAGTAATTAACAGTGATAATAATTAAACCTTAGTAATAGTAATTTATCCTTGCTATAGTAACTAATTAACACTAGTAATTAGTAGTAATAATTAGGAACTAGTAATTAATCCTTACTATCTGGAACAAATAAAGGCTAAAAAGTCAGAAGTGGAGAATGGGAAAGAGAGAGACAACAGAGAGAGATGGAACCAGTATTTGGCACCTTGGGGAAGGAGCCTGGCCAGTGGATATAGCTTGGAAATAATGCCAGGTTAGTTTGGATCCATTGATCCTTAATTTATAATATCCCAAAGGAAGACATGATTGGCTGGAATCTGAGTAGTGTCAATCAAAGTAAGACCAGCTTCTATGGATGGTGGGCAATATTTAGTTTGGATATTCACAAGTCACACAGGCCTACCATGCATTATGTTGTCATTTTACTGTGGTAGTAGTATTGGCTTTATGAGTTAATGCATTCAGTTTGGGACTCATAAATCATATTGTGAAGGTAAAAGCTTGAGATTTGTGGAAATCATTGTGGTGTTGATTGTGGCTTATTTTAGATAAGGAATCTCTCCAAAATTTTTAATTTCTGCTTCATAAAGTTAATTCAGAAAAGTGTCCGTTAATGTAAATAAATTTGAAAATGACTTGTTGGTAAATGAGGTTGGCACTGCAAGTATGGATACAGGGAAAGCAATTTAATGTAGCTTGTTTGTATCGTACTAGTTAACCACTATTCAATATAATTAGATGGGGAGATGTTGAGTTTTGTTTTTTGTTTTTCTCAGTTGAAGCCAAAGAATGAAAATGAATAGCCTGAGATTTGGATGGGTTTGCTGACGTGTGCTTGGATCCCCATTGGCTTGTCTTCAACAAGTGTTTATGAATCAAAAATGGAATTTGGCTCTAGGTCTTTTCTTTCACAAAAATGATACACACTGAGGGAACAGATGTTGCACTATTTATACTAACAATAAAATGGGAAACAGCCTCCAAAGTTCCCAGCAGTGTTGCAAGCCTTATTCCTAATTGTGCAACCAAAAAAAATTGCTAATGTCTTGGGAATTTTGGCCAGAAAAGTGATAGAATTAGACTTATATGAATGTTGTTCATTAGCTACCTTTTTTTAAAAAGATGGCAAGTTTCAACCTGGATCCACATGCACAGATACGAATGAAAGGTTTAGCGCCAAAGCACAGTAGCAGAATATGGTTGCTAATACCACAGCTCAGTGATAGAGCACATGGTCCAAATTCAGTCCCAGAATCTCCACTTAAAAGGTTCAGGAGATAGGAATGGCTATCCTCTGAGCCTCTAGTGTTGCTTGTCAAACTGGACTAGATGGATAATTTGTCTGTCTTAGTAGGAAGCAGTTTTTCATGTTTCGCCTTCATGGAAAAGGTCCAGAGGACATCAGAAAGTAGGCCTGGAAGAGTCTTTACCTTCAGTTAGTGAGGACAGCCCCAGGCCAAATAGTTTAACATAATACAAGGCAGCTCTGCCTGTCACAGTGTCAGGGTCATATTTTAAAAACTAGCTCTGAAGATTACAAAAACAAAGCTTCATTCTTTCCCTTCCAAAGCCTGTGAGATTTAGGCCCTACCTATACTATAAGCTTCTATTGATTTTCAATTAACTGAGCAGTCATGTTTTCTCCCACCAGAAAAGCATCCTGTGGATTTTAAATTGGCAGGAATCAGGAGACCAGTCCCTAATCAAACACCAGCAGAATAGAAGGAATAATTGCTAAAGCAGTTGAAATTTGTGACATCATCATATTAATTGATGTTTTGCTTAATTGCTTTGCAATGTGAACATGAACCTTCACTGACCAGCATTATTTGCTTTGTCAGCTACAAGTCCACACTATAGTGACCCACACTTAAGTAACCTCAAGTGAGAGGTTATATGATGCTTTACATGTGGGCTGCTCCTGAAACTTGTTAAGAGCTTCAGTTAGTCCAGAATCCAGCTGCAAGACTTCTGACTGGTTGCTTCAGGTGATATATTACATCTGTTCAGGACTTGGATTGACTGCCTGTTTTTTTAACCAATTCTGTTCAAAGTGCTGATGTTTATATTTCAAGCTGTACAGATAAACCTGCTGCAATACCAACCATATCTGGCAGAGAGGGTGGGTGGCAGCATTGAGGTGGCAACAAGTATGGGAAGAGATGGGGAGAGATGGGGTGGGCCACTCTTAGGAAATGAGACCTTTGCTGTGCTTGTGATTTTTTTAATTATTTATTCAGTAAATTTATAGGCCACCCATCTTATATACATGACTCTGGACACCTCACAATTAAAACAGAATAAAAACAATAAAAAGAACCAGAATTAAAATGACATAAAAATAGCAGCCAAGAACACTCATAAACACTCAAACTAGCCATGAAATGGTCTGACCTGCGCTATCAGGCCCCTGGCTTGATGGCAAAGCCAGGTTATTAGTGCCTTGCAAAAGACCAGCAGGGTTGGGGCAAGTCTAATATCTGGGGGATGATGTTCCGGGGGGGCACTATGGGCAGAAAAGGCTCTCCTCCTGGGTCCTGACAGTTGACACTCTCGTGCAGTCAGGCCCTGGAGCATGCCTCTCCTGCCATATCTAACAGGATGGGTAGACACAACTGGGGAGAGATGGTCCTGTAAGTAACCTGGCCCCAAGCCATGGAGTCAAAATGTACCCAGACTGGCTGGTACTGTCCTTACTATTAGCAGGGAATGCTGCATGTAATATGGTTACAGCTGAGATTGGTAACCAAGTCTACAGATCTTCTGTCTTACTAAAAAAAAGTGTTACATAAAAGCCTTATTAACCAAAGCTGTGATGGACATGGAGGTCAATATCTGGTAATAACCATGACATAGGGAAGATTGTGATTTGAAATGTAAGAGTAAATAATAAATAACATAAAAGAATGAATGAATGAAAGAAAGATATGTTTGTGAAACTAAAATGGAAAGGATGTAATAAGATATTGATTTGATTTGATTTGATATTCTGATTTGGTGGAGTAGACTTGATGAAATATGCAGAAAAGTAAAGATGTAAGTTTAATTATGAATGAAAGGGCTAAAGTATATATCACAAAAATACAAATTGGTATCATCTAAGTTGCTGTTGGTACATATGAAAGTAGGAATCCAAAGATTCGTAATAGTTGCATGCTATGTTCTAGCAAATGGTGATAACAGAAGAATCAGATATGAATTCAGGGAAAAAATGTGCAACATTCTGTATGGATATGAAGTAGGGAAAAATGGTCTTGGTTTATATTGTAAACCACTGTCAAGCTGTGTAAAGTTGGCAGTCTTGCGAAACAAGAATTGCTTGTTCTTACTGCCTCCTCTGCATTTCCATGATTGGTTAGGTATCCCTTCACAGCCACCAACCATCCCATTTGGGACGGAGAAGTATAAAATGTATTTTAAAAAAATGTGTGGAGTTATGCTGATTGGAAAATAAGGAAGGGTACTTGGTAGAATGATGAAATGAAAAGGGCTGTGTATGAGGAAAAATGCAAGTACACATAGTCCTCGATTTATGATGGCAGTTGGGCCCAGAATTTCGATTTCAATGAGATGCAGTCCTGGTTGCCATTGGCAACTGAATCCCACAGTTGTTAGGATTGACACGCTGACAAGCAAAGTCAGTGGGGAAGCTGGCAGGAAGTTGCAAGTCACATGCCAGCAGGTAGGTAAGTGGCTGCAGCCAGGTGGGGGAGGAAGCACGGGGGTGCAGAGGAGGGTCGGGAAGGGTGCACGAGTGTGCAAAGGAGTGCCAAGAGGCGTGGGTTGGATGGTGCATGGGGTGCGTGAGAAGTGCAAGTTGGGAGGGTGTGAGGGTGCAAGGGGTGTGCAAGAGGCACAGGTCAGGGGGTGAGGGGGTGCATGAGAGGCACGGGTTGGGGAGGATGCACAAGGGTGCAAGGGGGTGCTCAAGAAGTGTGCTGGTTGGGGAGGGTGCAAGTGGGTGCGCAAGAGGTGCCATACAGGTCAGGGAGGGTGCACAAGGGTGCAAGAGAGAGTGCAAGTTGGGGAGGGGGTACTGGGGTTGGAGGGGGTACACAAAGGTGCAAGGGAGCCACAGGGAGGGTACATGGGGTTGTGCAAATGGCCAGTGTGGTGCAAGCATAGAAGGGCTGGGGGAGGATGCATGGGTGGGGGAGACTTACTCCAGCGACTTGCAAGCTTCCCTGCTGGCTTCCCCGTTGACTTTCTGGGGAAGCTAGCAGGGAAGGTTGCAAATAGTGATCACGTGATTGCGGGTTTGTAAGTGTGAACTGGTTGCCAAGAGCCCAGATCACGATCACATGAATGCAGTGGTGCTGGGATGGGCAGAACTCCAAGGACCGACTGTAACCACGATTTGTTCGGTGCCGTCATAACTTTGAATGGGTCCTGAATGAATGGTCGTAGGTCAAGGACTAACTGCACAAAAATTGCACAAAAGATAGAGTGACTGTGCATTAGAATGAAGTACATTCTAAGTTACACATAAAGGCAAAAAACAGAGCAAGTAGATGAATTTATTTATTTATTTTTATTTATTTATTAAATTTCTCCCCACCCATCTTTATGTACACTTTTAGATTGTTTGGTAAAGATGGGGGAATTTAAGGTGGGCAAATGCTGGTAGAAAGGTAATAAATAAGCCTATTATGAGGAATGAATGTTTATTGAAAGAAGCAAACATAGCTGTAAGTGACTTATATGTAAGTGAGAGTTGGATATGTCAAGAGAAATATAAGTTAGAATGGAGTACTTAAGTTCATGTGGTAAAAGAAGAAGAAACAGTCAGGAATGAATGGGTACTGAATGAATGTAGGTTGAATACAAAAGGGAGTGAACAGTGTATAGAAAGAATGAATCAGGATCAAAGTTGCTTCTCCTGAGTTAATAGCATGATGCACATGTATGTATGCATCTTCAAGAAATAAATAATAGGCTGTCATTAATAATCCATTCACATACAAGAAGCAAAATACAGTGGTACCTTGGGATACGAACTTAATCCGTTCCGTGACTCTGGGCGTATCCCGAG